CTGAACAATTGGATTTACTAGTATTTGACACTTCTGCACAGTCACGGGTAGCATCAAGACTCTTTGTCAATCATGTGGTCGCTCACCGCAAATGTCACCGTCTATGCCCAAGCTGCAACGTCCTTTGCTCAGCTGGACATTCTGGTCTGTACCTTTTTCACCTGTGCCTTCCAGAACCACAGCGACAACTGCTCCGTGGCCTATTCCGTAATCCAGATGGATCATCTTCTGATCTGGGATGAAACGGGACCATCTCCCTGGGCACCGATGAATGAATCCAACGATGCACCAAGCAATGAAAGATACAAACTGTTGAACCACTCGTTGCAAATCATTGCTTTTAAGAATCCGGCAGAGGCTAACCAGGTAGTGTATTCCAACACAAAGACCGTACTGTATGGTTTTGTCCTGCCTGCCCTCAAACTGCTAGGGATCCTATCCATTCTGTCTTTTTTCTTTACCATTTGCAGAGTTCCCTCCATGTGGAATATCACTAATTTCTACTTGAGTAATTTGGCAGTTGCAGATTTGATGGTCTTGATTTCAATTGCCACTGATAAGCAATATGTGGCTTTTACAACACAAAATGAATTTGATTTCTTATATATGGGGAACTCAACCCGAGCAGTTCTTACTCCCATAATGTACACATGTCATGTGGGTATTATTTCATCTATAGCCTTTGTAACACTGCTGTCTTATGATAGATATTTTGCCATTTGTTACCCTTTCCAACACCGTAATCTCAATCTGAAACAACGGGCAATACGAGCAGCAGTTTGCATATGGTTTTTGTCTTTTTCCATGAATTTGATTGATATCTTTCGTCAATTTCTGGCCTTTGTACCACAAATCAAATGTCTTGTTTGGCCAACTGAAGAAAAGTATAAACATCTATCAGGTAATGTGTATGGGTTTATGAATAATGGTGCAACTTTTGTCACTTTGAATCTGGTTGTAAATTATGTGTTTTTTTGTGCATTCATGTTGAGTTTGATCCTCACGGTCACTTTCAATATGCTCCTAATTAAGGGACTGCATGCACCAAATCCAACCGGTGATCAGATCCGTGGTCCGTCAAAACATCTACGAAGAGTTACTCTGATACTTGGCATCAACACAGCCATGGTATTTGTCTGTTTTCTGCCCCAAGCTATAACTTGTCTAATGAAAATTTTAGTGCAAAGCAGGGAAGAAGTGAATGTAAATTATGATGTGAAATGGAAGTTGGATCTGATGTCTGTTTGCCTCGGAGTCTTGAACTCTTCCATTAATTCAGTCCTATTCAATGCTGGTAGTGGAAGGTACAGGAAGGCCTTTAAGCAAGCCTTCTGCTGCAGAAAGAGGCAGCAAGTACCAACAAACAATATCCCTCTGCAGACATTACCAAGAGCAGATCCTGCAGATAGAATCAAATCATAGGATCCAAAGGCAAACCCCCCCCCCCCATCAAAAAAAAATAGTAGTCTGTATAATATACCATGGCATGGTCTATGATATGTGTGCAGATTCGCTGATTAATTAGGCAAGACCCCGCCATTTGACATCCAAGATTTTATAAACCAATCAGCAGGCGCTTTCTAATATTGGTTTTTCAGTCATTCACATGTTGCGCGTCATAGACAATTGATAAAAAAAACCTGTCACGCGCTCATTATCATGTTACTTGTTATGCACCCGGCTGTTGTTGCATTACAAAACACTGCATTCGAATTGACCGATCAAACCATTTAGTCCTGATTTGGGAATGAAATGACATCACGATTTAGTAAAATCCAGTCCAATTGGCTGGCGCACGGCTTGCATATATCTGCATGTCTAGACATATCAGACGTTATACAGGAAACTTGCTCCGGGGATAACGGTGATACTCAGACTAGTTCCATAGCAACTTCCAAAACTTCCATGCTAATTTATTGTTCTGTCATTGTTCAGCTTTTCTACAACTTAGAAATAGTGTTATTTGCAGCACTTCAGTTTTGAAAGGGGAGCATGGTTCACTTTGTTTTTAAGAAATAATTCAACTTCTACCATCGCATTTTTTATTTATTATTTACACAAGTGAACAGCCTTGCAGATTGAACTTGATTTAAGCCTCTACACTCTGTTGTGTGTTATCTGTAAAGTACACTGTACATAGAACTGAGAATTGTCTCAATGTAAAAAGAAACGAAACATGTAACATTTGTTCAAAGATTGTAATGGTATTAAACAGTTTGTATCTTGCATGATGTTATTTTGTGTTTGGTTTGTCAGTGTGCCAACAATCTTTGCATGCTATTGGTTCTCTCTGGACTCAATGTGAAGCTGGCAATAGAATGTAACAAAAAAGGGTCTCCAAGAAAACTTTGCTGTGAAATTGTCATCTCTTAAAGAATTGTTATTAAGTATAATGCTTTAATGATGGATACGTGTTGTTAAAAATTATGTCTGCTTCCAGGAAATGGGGGGGGGGGGGGTTGATATAAAAGAAGGTTGAGTGTTGATTCTAAATGTTGCTGAAAAATGATGAAAAATGTAAATGTTCCAGGGGCGGATCCAGTTTTCAGGAAATGGGGGGGGGGGGGGGGTGGATATAAAGGAGGTTGAGTGTTATGCATGCTGAAGGCACACCCTGATGTGGGAGGGCATAGCCTCTGAAAAATTTGAATTGTATGATGTTTTTTCCTTCATTTAAAGGCAATTCTACAACAAGATTAAAACTTTGGAAATGGGGGGGGGAGGGGATTTTTAAGGGGTGGGGGTTTGATTTTTGGGGATTCCCTGGTAATTTGTTATCTACGATATCTTCTCCTGCATTCTAAACCAATTCCAGAACAATTTAGGAACTTCAGCTTTCTGTACATAGGCGTAATTTCTGAATTTTGCACATGTATCGCCCTGAAAAGCACCAAATATTGGCCCTTTGTGTGTATAATCTTTGGTTTTGCACAACGCCCCCATCGCGATGGTACCAGGGCCCCCCCCCCCCCCCCCCCCCTTTGGATTTTACGGAGGCCAAGTGTTCGGAGAAAAAAAATTGATGCCATTTTACCCCGGATGTGCAAGTGCCCTTTTCAAAAAATTTGTCCCCCAATAAAAATGACCGTGCTACGCCACTGCTGTATATTATTTTGACCCCATTTCATCAAGTTTTATTAGTTAGCGACTGAATGGGGGAGTTGCAACACCCCAGCCCCCACCCCTTCTGCCCCCACCCCCTCCTCTCTCTAGATCTGTTTCTGCCTCCCTACCCACCGGCCCTTTCTCCATCAACCCTGTAAGGGGGAATTTTCAAATAAATACACACAGTACCACCTCCAAGGGTTATCTGTTGGGCCTTAACACATCGCCGCTACCCCAAATCTTGAAAGCTGAACTATTCCAACATCGATAACTCAACTTGAAAATTGTTCCCATCCAATTTTCTGACCTAAAATGAAAGAGGTGCAGGGGAAGGGCTGGTAACCATATAATTTGCAACTGGATATGGTGTATTGAAACATAGATGGCTCGTGGGAGAGGGGCTTGCATAACTGCCCCATTTTGTTAGGGGAGGGAACATTATCTTCATCTTTGCCATATTCATAATATAATGACTCTGGGTTCATTGATATGCAAGGATTCTTCAATGCTAATGAATGAGAAGTTGTGGATGGGAACCAGTGAAATGTAAGAGCCATCACTTCCTTCTGGTTCATATTGTAAACAGTGCCCTCTTATTATAGCCACTTTCAGAGTGGTTCTACAAAAGTCCTTAAGGGGCACATTCAAAAGTTTGGATGTTTTCAAATTTTGATGTTTTTTTCTCCAAAATGTGGATGGGTGGGTCAAATTGATTGATTGAAATTTTTGTAAATCGAAATTCACTTTTTTCAATTAAAAAGATAGAAAATAGCTCTTTTGACTTGCCAATTCAACTCTCTGCATTCCGATTTGTAAACCCTTTGCCCGTACCGTACGGATACAGTATACATCCGGTACAATGTACAATGTACCGTGTATTACGTCCATCGGAGCACCATATGCATGGGGACCAGTGAAGTTAGACTTAAAGCATGCGTAAATTCAGTGCGTTTTGTAAAGGGAGCAGGATACCACGTTCATTTTGTCTTAATACATGCCACGAGTGTCGGTTGGAAATCGTGACAACGAAATAAACCTACTTGTGTTCAAGATTACTTAGGCAACCTGCATGCATATCGCATGCGCGTGGTATATATATGCGTGCAATGAACATGGCAGCGCCCCCATGTCTGGAAAGCGCGAGTTGAGAGTACCAATTTTTTTTTTCTATCAAAAACGACAGAAATTTCTTAATAAACTTCATGAATAATGGGAGTCAATAATACACCTCTTTACGCCAAGACAAAAGTTTTTTTTTTTAAGCGAACTGACACTTTTTATTACCGTTTAGAATGGACTAGTTGTACATGTACGTGTTTCCAGGTGGATTCCTTATACGTATGGGAATGCAAGTGGGACGTGTTGTTGCAAAGGTACTGTATACGGACTGCAGCTGCATTCCACCGTCAATGAAATGAACATTCGTTATGTTTTTTATTGAATGGAAAATCAAAAGTTTAAGATCAAAAATTGGGGTGGGTGGGTGGGTGGGTGGGTCAAAACAATTTGGAAATTTTAAAACATCGGAAATTTGGAATGGCCCCTTAACAAGGAAAAATTGACTGATCAGCAATCTCAAGATGGTTACACTTTCAACCGACTTATTTTAAGAACTTCACAATACAAAAGTACACATTGAAAGGCCATGCCGTACTTTCAATATTTTTCTTTCAATATTTGTCTCAATGCTTGTAAACGTGTGAATTTATTAATAACATGGAATCGGTTTTGAGGCAATGTTCTTGTGAGAAAATCTACTCCAAGAGTACGAAACAATTAAGCTAACAAGTTAAGATATAAAAAGAATACCACCCATCATCATGTGATTTTTTCTTTTTATAAAGCACTGTATCTTCAAGTTAAATTTGCAGAGTGAAAGTGACCATATACATACATGAACATGTCAGTTTCGATGCAGTGCACCTGTGAAGGTATTTAAATCGAACACTTGCTCTTCAAGATCATTGTGCATTTCCTGAGCAGCCACATCACAGTGCGTCGTTGGTCCAACTTGCTATAAGTACACAGCGCATGGTGCCTTGATCCTGGAACACTTGTCCATGCATGTATGTACTCTCTCAATGACAACTAAACCAGCAATCAAACTTGAAGTCAGTTCTCATCCCAAGCCAGCCAGTTAACGGGGCCATCACTTCTCTCTGGAAATTGACGTCCCATGCTATGGACAGGTCTTGCTTCCTCTGTTGCTTCCTCCAAGAAAACACAAAGCAGTGACCAATTGGTGTCACATTTGCTGTTTGTTGATTTGAGAGGGCCACTAGATCTGACAACTCAGTCTTCGAAAACAGACTTCGAATGCAGATTCCAATTTGTTTCCTACCAAGAAGGAAGTCAAAACTATCCAGATAGACCTGGCTACATTACTATCTTGGGTCATAACCTACAGTACTGTAAACTTTACCACAGTAAATGGCCCCGTGAGCAGTTGTTAGTTACATTTGTACTTCTGGTGCGTGTACTTCTGAAAAAAAATCTTTGTTCCGTATACCATATTTGAGAGGCAAGCTGTTAGCTTGTAATTCCCAACTGTACTACTGCTGAATAAACCTCCAGTCATCCTCACCATTCATACTTGAATCGCTAGATTTCGTTGTCATCCGCGAACCACTTCTTTGTTCAGCTCTTCATTCAGGGAGCAGACTTCTGCTGTGTTTATCTGCCCCACGTTATCTGTACAGGACACTGAACAATTGGATTTACTAGTATTTGACACTTCTGTACAGACACGGGTAGCAGCAAGACTTTGTGTCAATCATGTGGTCGTACGATGCAAATGTCTCCATCTATGCCCAAGCTACAACATCCCTTGCTCAGCTGGACATGCTGGTCTGTACCTTCTTCACCTGTGTCTTCCAGAACCACAGCGACAACTGCTCTGTGGCCTATTCCCCACCCCTGATGGACCATCCCCTGATCTGGGATGAAACGGGACCACCTCCCTGGGCACCGATGAACGAATCCTTTGATGTACCAAACAATGAAAGATACAAACTGTTCAACCACTCGTTGCTAATCCTTGCTTTTGAGAATCCGACAGAGGCTGACCAGTTTGTGTATTCCAGTACTCGGACTGTGTTGTATGGTTTTGTCCTTCCTGTCCTCAAACTATTAGGGATCCTATCCATTCTGTCTTTCTTCTTTACCCTTTGCAGAGTTCCCTCCATGCGGAATATCACTAATTTCTATCTGACTAATTTGGCTGTTGCAGATTTGATGGTCTTGATTTCAGAGGCCACTCATCAGCAATATGTGGCTTTGACAACACAAATGGACTTTGATGTATCATATTTGGGGAACTCAGCCCAAGCAGTTCTTACTCTCTTAATCTACACTGGGGATGTGGGTGTTATTTCATCTATAGCCTTTGTAACACTGCTGTCTTATGATAGATATTTTGCCATTTGTCACCCTTTCCAACACCGTAATCTCAATCTGAAGCGACGGGCAATGCGAGCAGCAGTTTGCATATGGTTTTTGTCTTTTTTCATGAATTTGATTGATTTCTTTAATCAATTTCTGACCTTGAATCCACCACCCATCAAATGTGTTGTTTGGCCAACTGAAGAAAAGTATAAACATTTATCAGGTAATGTATCGGTGTTTTTGATTAGTGATGCAACTTTGGGCACTTTGAATCTGGTTGTAAGTTGCATGCTTTTCTGTGTATTCATGTTGAGTTTGATCCTCACAGTCACTTTCAATATGCTCCTTATTAAGGGACTGCATGCACCAAATCCAACTGGTGATCAGATCCGAGGTCCGTCAAAACATCTACGAAGAGTTACTCTGATAATTGGCATCAACACAGCCGTGGTATTTGTCTGTTTTCTGCCTCAAGCTATATGTGCCCTAATTGTAATTTTATCGCAAAGCAGGAAAGAAGTGAATGTAAATAATGATGTGAAATGGGGTTTGAGTTTCATGACTGCTTGCCTCAGACTCATGAACTCTTCCATTAATTCAGTCATATTCAATGCTGGTAGTGGAAGGTACAGGAAGGCCTTTAAGCAAGCCTTCTGCTGCAGAAAGAGGCAGCAAGTACCAACAAACAATATCCCTCTGCAGACATTACCAAGAACAGATCCTGCTGATCGGATCAGATCATAGGATCCAAAAGCAAAACTCCCCCCCCCCCCCCGAAAAAAAAAAAGATAAGAAAAAAACCTAGACTTATGTTTGTGGACAAACAGTTGATTCTGCAACTTTTTTTGTGACATATATATGTGACATGGAAAGTATCAAGTATGAGTTCCATCCAGGAACCTGGGTGGGACAGCTTGAGGCTGACCATACTCTGTCAGCCCCTGCCCTGTGGCTCACCTCGACTGATCGGTTGGAGTGGGTGGCTCAACGTCACATAGCTGGATTTGGAGACTGATGATGAGGAAAAATGTGTAGTTCTGTTTATAATATATGGTGGCATGTAAATATGTGATTACATTCTCATAGGGCTTTGAATTATGACGTCACACGTCACGTGATGACGTCATGATGACATCACATCAATTTTCATCTATTATCATAACAACCTTCCGCTAGAAGGATCTCTAACATTTTATGACATCACCGTTAATTTTTTTTGTAAAGAAAAACTTAGCCAGAGCATACATCGTTGAAAGCAAGTTCACATCTTTTACCAATTTTAAATTACAAAGCTCATCCAGTTTTAACTGGAAGGAAGGGTCACATGATTTTGCACGTACTATCAAAAATGAAGACCAAGGATTATTCTATCAATTCCAAAAAAAGTCATGTTCAGATCTCTCACGGTTAGTTTTATCTTGATTTTCTTAAACGTGATGTCACTTGACCCATGATGACGTCACCATGAAGTCACTTTATTTTTTCATCTATAACACACCCCGGTCTAGGTACAAACCAATTTTCAACCCAATTGGACCTGTAGTTCTGTACACATAGGCCTTCAAAATATTCACCTATTATATGATGTCACGTGACACGCGATGACCTCATGATGACATCAATGTTCGACATATCTGCATGTGTTGGTTTCTAAGTATGTGCCAAGTATAAAGGCAATCAGATTGATTTTAGTGCCCAAAGTGCCGGAAACAAACAAATGACAGAAAAAGAAAGAAAAAGAAGAGAAAAAAATTCTCAACGAAAACAAAGGCTGTTTCGTCATGTTTGCCGATACAGCCAATAATGCAATCCTCTCTTCCAAAAGTTTCTATAACTTCCAAAAGCTGCATAGTAATTTATTGTTTTTTTTTCTTCTTTTTTTTTCTTTCTTCAAGCTTGGATTGTACAGCCAAGCTGGGGTACTATTTTTCTTTTTTGGTGTCCTCATGTACATTGGTGTCCTCCATAATTTGCCTTTGTGCTTTCGATCATTTGCCTTGTGGCAATTTCCCATTCCTTGGTGCTCTTTGGTAAAAAAATATTGAGGAGGTGTGGAAATAGAGGGCGCTGTTGGAGCTACCGCGGAACATTTTGGAAAAAAAAAAGATCGACGCGCATGATTAAAATCGACGCGCGCGCTGACCAGAGACCGACTTTTTTTTTTTTTGGCCTTACCACTACATTTTTGATTTCCACAAAGCAACAATTTTCAAATGTAAACAAAAAATAAGTCTCAAGACTCTTGATCATTACATGTACAATGTATCTGTAAATTAAACTGTACATAAAACCATAGAACTCACACTTGTTTCCATGTAAAAATCAAAAGAAATGTATTACATTTGTACAGAGATTATAATGGTATTAAACACACTGTATCATCCATGCTGTTATTTTGTGTGTTTCCTTTGTTATCACAATACTTGCTTTCTTTGGGTTCCCCCTGAATTAAGAGCATTTGTATTGCTGATAACAGAATTAAAGAAAGATCTCCAAGAAAGCCTTTCTGTTACATTGTTATTAGTTGAAGTTTTTTCTTAAAAAATAGTACTTTTTCTGAATCCATTTCTGAAACTTACAGCAAAAGCAAATTATTGTACATTCCCTTTAACACACCCTTGCTACCTGAAATCTTTAAAGCTGAAATATCCCAACATTGATAAAACAATTTATTCCACTCAGTTTTCTGACCGAAAAGGAAGGAGGTGGAGGATATTAGAGCTGACGTTCGATAAAATATCAAGTAGTGTTTGGTGTATTGAATGATATATGGCTCATGGGGGCGGGGCTTGCACAACTACCTCCTCAAGATGGATACACGTAGGTGAAGGAAAACTTGCATATTCTGCACAAACCCCGCCTTCCCTGGTGCTCAGTCATTCTTAAATGTTACAGGATAAGTGTGAAATGGGAACCATTGAAATAGAGGAACCATCATATTTGTGTGGTGTAGCTGGGGGGGGGGTTACTTTCTGTAAATAGCGCCCTCTTTGGTCAATGCACAGAGGAGTTTAATGAGTTGACAGGGCTACGGGTTATGACGAACTGGTTACTACCAACTGAAGTCAATCAACTTTCACATTACGAAAGTGAAGTACTCCTTTCAACTGAAGTCAATCAACTGTCACAATACGAAAGTGAAGCATTCCTTTGGCAGGCCCAGCTGCACTAACAAGTTCCCCTTGTTTAGGAGATCGACTTAATATTTTTAATAGTGAAAGTTTTTTTCTCAACATGCTATCAGTTTTTAAACCAAGTTTTGTGAGAAAATCAACTTTAAGAGCTCCCAACAACGAAACTTCTGGTTCCTGGTTTAGAAATCGAACGGGACGTCCCCATCATCGTGTGATTCAAATAACCATCATTCAAGGTCTTGATTCTTCAAAAATTCTTATTTTCATGTAGGCCTTATGCAAAATTCTGTTGCCCCATAGACAAAAACGTAAATCGGGTACCGTAGTAAAAAGGTTCACAAATGGTAAATGCGATTAACTTCATTTTTTTTCACACAGGGTTTCTGATGAATATATATGTCATTCTTACAAGGTTTAAATAAAAAGTTCAAAACTTCAACTTGGTTTTGAGAAAAGTATGGCTCCTTGGCATTATTGCAGGTTTTTTTACTCACCTTGTAGGAGAATTTGGAATCTTCAGCTGGATAAACACTAATCTGATGAACGTGGTGATGCATTTTGTATTAGTCATACATTGTAGTTCGACACAGTTGCTAGTGCAACTGCAGTCTAATTGTATTCATTGTGATACTTTATGCCCGACGATCATACATCCATTAACCCTCCTGCTGTCTAAAAGTCACAGGCAGTCAACAAAAATACACATGCCTTTTACACAGGCTAGGCACTAACAGTCAGATCATATTGCAAGCAAGCACTGTAAGTAGTCAAATTCAGTCAGCAGACAAGTGGTAGGCACAGCTGGCTTATCAATCAGCTACAATCAAAGCATAGCTGTACCGAGTTACATGAACAGTCATAGCCAGTCAATACTGCTTTATGTAGGCTGGGAGCTCTTGACTGTTGAAAACAGTCACTTGACTGAAAGAACAACTCGGCACAGAATGTATGTTTGCATAGGAGGATTTAAAAATGTGATACTTTATGGGCTTTAGCAACGATCATACATTCATTAATTAAAGTCTAACTGCAATCAATTAACCCTAACCGCCTAGAATTCTTCAAAATTGTCTTTGCCAAAGTGGAGGAATTTGGAGGATTGAGTTTACATGGCAAAAGTGCGCTTCTGATTTTGTAGGATGCACTTTGTCAAGGTCTTGGGCTGGACCTTGTGTTGTTTTTGCTTAGCAGTGCATAAATATAGGCCTGGATTATGCTTAAAATCCTCTGTTCTGCTCCAGGATGTCATTGGCCAAGCCTCAAAATATTGACGGTCACTGCCGCAGGATTTTGCAGGATTCAGGCAGTGGTCACCCCTCTGCGGACCATATTTAAGAAATAATGGAGGAATTTGCAGGATTGAGGCTAAATGCTATTTTTCTACGAGGCCAATTGGAAGATTTTGCAGGATTGAGGCTACATCCTAGCCAAAATGCCTAGGGAGTTAGTTAATAGTGCAAGTCTTCATTTTCATTGTTTGGTTTTGGTCTCTGTGTTGGTCTTAAGGATTCAATGTATTGGTCTTTGAAGTAAAAGTCTTTGCCTTGGAAGTACAGGTCTTGGTCGCCGAGTTGGCAGTCTTCAAGACTTGGGGTTAAATAATTAAAACTGTTGCGAGATTTGTTGATTGACTAGAGAGCGGTCCAATATTTTTCTGGGGCCCGAAGTTTTTCTTCAAAGCCTTTTTAGTCACACTTTTGGGAAGAGGAACAGAAGAAAAGTCTCGATTTACACCATACACAAACATGTATGTCTGTGTGTGTTATGTTTTGGTTAGGTTAACTCTTGTCAGCACGATAACTTGAGAAATGCTTTACTTAGGAACTTGAAATTTGGAGGAATTGTGAAGTGGGAGGAATATCATCGCTCGGTAAAATCTGGACTTTTCCATTTCACGAAGCTTGGCCTGGTGACACAGAAAAGTCCAGATATTACCTTGTGATAATATTCCTCCCATTCCACTCTGAGTCACTCAATATTTGTATAAAAATACCCCATGAAAGATGTGTGCTTCACAGTATTCGATCTGCAGCAAAAACTACTGGACCGAATCAGGAGATCATCATATTATATTTCGTCTAAGAAGATTCTCCATCCATTGGTACAGGTGGTTTGAGTCTCAAGGTAGTGGGAGTATGCCATTGGGGGCCACCCTGTATAGTAGACTGTGGACTGGCAATTCTCAAGAGTCAGTTTGTGGTCTGTGGTGGGCATGTCCAACTAGAATCAATGAATGGAGGCTGGTGACCTGAGCTGTTAATAAAAAAATGTTGCATAAGGCTACCTCCGTGAAGGGGCCACGTACAGAGTAGTTGTACAATATTTAATGAAAACAGACTTAATTGATCAGTGATCCCAATTTGGTTAAATTGTTGACCAACTTATTTCATGAACTTGCACAATACAGAAGTGCAAAGTGAAAGGCCTACCGGAAGCTGTACTTTAAATATTTATCTGAATGCTAACATGTGAATTTATCTATGTACATATCAAGGTATCAGTTTTGAGGCAACTTTATTGATAAAATAATCGAATTTCGAGAGAAAACAAATAAAAACCCCCAAAAAGCCACATGTTTAAAAATCAAAAGGGATCACCATCATCATGTGATTAGTTTCTTGTTATATA